GAATAGTTAATGAGTTTCCACGAAATGAGACGCTAGCTTCACATACACTCACGTGACTCATTACATGTCATATGATTCATTACTTTACCTAGGATGACGAAGCAGGAGCATACGCGTTTCGTTCAAGCCGTACGTTATTCGCCTGACGGAAATCTATTTGCTTCCGGTGGATTCGACGGGAAAGTATTTATATATGACGGAACAACCTCCGATTTTGTTGGGGAAGTGGGATCCCCCGCACACCAAGGTGGAGTCTACGGAGTACGTGATCTAACTTTGGCGTAATGTGATGTGACAGAAAAATATGGCAAATTGTAATTTGTCGAGTAACGAATTTACATTTACAGGTCGCATGGAAGCCCGATGGTAAACAATTATTAACTGCCTCCGGAGATAAAACTTGTAAACTGTGGGATGTAGAAACACGTTCTTTAATTACCGAGTTCAATATGGGAACGACGGTCGACGATCAACAAGTTTGTAACTCGTACAGTCCGTTTAAAAAGATATAAAACGACAGACAATAAATTAAAATAATTCTTGTTTCCAGGTGAGCTGTCTATGGCAGGGAAACCATTTATTGTCCGTGTCACTTAGCGGCTTCATCAACTATCTTGATGTCGACAATCCTCAGAAGCCTATAAAGATAATAAAGGTAATTCCTCTATTGATTAAATCCCTTTCAAAGTTCACAAACTGATGAACCGTTCTTTATATCCTTTTCCAATGTACTAATTGTAATACTTTTCAGGGTCATAACAAACCAATAACGGTGCTAACACTAAGTCCTGATAGAAGTACGATTTATACCGGCTCTCACGACGGCTATATTACCAATTGGAATGCGGAGACAGGGGAGAATGATCGTGTACAAGGGCACGGTCACGGTAATCAAATTAACGGGATGAAGGCCACGGGTAACTTGCTCTATACGGCCGGCATCGACGACACTTTAAGGTCAGTCGATATCGCGACGAATGCATACGCGGAGACCGCTGTGACAAAATTGGATTCGCAACCACGAGGTCTGGATATATATAACGATATAGCTGTGGTTGCTTCAGTTCGACAGGTAGGTCGTATAAGATGCCCACACTTCGCAAAGATAAATTTATTTATAACACTATCACATTTAATAAATCTATAATATCTAATCTGAAGATAGTTGGCAAGTTTAAAATCAACGTAAGTCTAATCCACAATGTGCTCTTTTGTGTCTAGAAACATTCTATTTTATAGCCAATAAATACGTTTAAAAACTTTGTGAAAGTTAATAAATTATACATTATACATATATCGTACAATCGTACTTTGTCGACAAAGTTTTTAAACGTCTCGATTTGTTTATATAAAATAGAATGTTTTTAGACGCAAAAAGCATATTGTTGATGAGGCTTTAGTGCTGCTGTAAACATGTAAAAATATTTTTATGTTAAATTTGCTAAATATAATATATTCAAAAAAGCGGTAAACATCTTTGTGGACGTTTTGTAATTTCGCATAACAATGATGTTAAATTGGTAATACACTTTGCAGATTGCGGTTACACAAGATGGTAAAAAGCTGTCGAGTTTATCAATTAATTACGAGCCATCGTGCGTGTCAATTAATCAAGAAACCGGAGACGTAGCTGTTGGATCCACATCTGATAATAAAGTTCGTTTCTTATACAGTATACAAAAAATGTAAAAGTTGATAAAATCAATTAGAAAATGAAAAGGTCCGTTTAGAACCGGGCATAGGTGTGAGTAGCCAATTAAATTAATAAGTGAATCCATATACCGTATTCTTTCCAACTTATCCTGCGCGCCTCTTCATTTTCTAATTGATTTTATATCTTAAGGATCTAAGTTAAAATTGTAGTATTTACACACGCTGGCCTAGAGAGCGTTTCCAAAGTTTATATATGTTATTGCGAACAATATTATCACAGCCCCAGTGGTCGAGCTGACTAAGACGCCCGTCACGGATTGAGGGAGGTCCCAGGTTCGAATCCTGGCTGGGGTAATAATTTTCGCAATAAGAATTTTAAATAAAGGGGGAGGGGGGTTATCATATTAGATGCTAATGTATAGCATTATTAAAATAATTTATAAACGTGAATTCACTGACGATAACACTTTCACTTACGGGGATTAACCTGTGTTATAAGACTGGTATGTAACTGGCGCGCAGGATAAGTTGGAAAGAATACGGTATATGGATTCACTTATTAATTTAATTGGCTACTTACACCTATGCCCGGTCCTAAACGGCCTCTTCATTTTCTAATTGATTTTATATCTTAAGGACCTAAGTTAAAATTGTAGTGTAAAAGTTGATTCAGACTTTTATCAATCTTTGTACAAATTGTGTATAGGTTTATATCTACGAGTTGGCGGATACTACATTAACTCAAAAGACTGAACTAGAACACCTGGGCCCAGTTACGGATGCCTCGTATAGTCCCGATAATAAATATCTAGTTGCCTGTGATGCAAATAGAAAAGTCATACTGTATGCCGTACCAGAATACAAGGTGATATCAAAAATAATTTAGAATTGTGTCAGTAATTAAGCATAAAATAATCATGCTTTCTTTAATGAATTAATTGCTATTAATGGCTTGTTATTATTATGCTTATTGGATCAACAGAGGGTGAGTAGCACTTAAATAAAACTAAATAGCTGTGTACGCACAAAAACAATTTCAAAATAATTTCAAGATAAAATGTAAAAGATATTGATTTGACTTGCAGCTTGCACACAACAGAGAATGGGGCTTCCACAATGCAAGAGTAAATTCTGTCGCATGGTCTCCTAACTCTGACATGGTTGCGAGTGGTAGTCTTGACACCACCATCATCATCTGGAGCGTGACAAATCCAGCAAAGCATACCATCATCAAAAGTAAGCGTAACAAATTCTCATTTGTAAGTGCATTTGCAGTAAACATTTATGTGTTTTAGATGCTCATCCTCAGAGTCAAATAACACGCTTGGTCTGGCTGGATGAGGAAACTTTAATCTCCGTCGGACAGGACTGCAATACTAAAATATGGCGTATAGAAAAGATATAATTAACTTTTGGAAGAATTTATTGCCACTTCTAAGGAAACTCAATTTTGGAGGCATTTTATTTATTTCGTAGTCTACGAATATTGTATATTATTTTTTAATACAATTCTTGATATATGATATTAAAAAATTATATTGCAATCTCTCTTGCACCTTTTTTATCGACTTTATTAGTAGAATAATTCACATCCCATATAACCAAGACCGCAGGCTCTCGCGCCGCGGCTTTATTTTCGCATATATGTAGAGATATTGCATTTGCACTAAGAATCACACGACTTATCTAACTTGTCTTTATTAAAACGATGTAACAATAACAAGAAAGCGATAACAATTCGAACACTAAAAGTCTTCAGGAACATGATCACACTTTGTACACTTATCGAGGATGTTATTATGATTTGTCTTACCATTAATCAGTCCGGAGTGCTGCTTTTACAAATTCAACTATGTTCGCAATCCACACCATTCATTGGTGGGCGTGTTCATTCTATGAACTTTGTTGCTAAATTATTCTCTAATTCAACATACCTAGAACAACGCTCTATTATTTTCAATACATTTAATAAAATATTTTGTTTTAATCTCTTTCCTTCTCTTTCCTCAATTTAAATTTGAACTTTTAATAGAAAGATTCAGTGTAAGAGAGAGGTATCCTAGCGAGGGTTAAAGTGTCTATATAGAGTAACACAGTAGAGTGACTTTACCATCACAGTATTGACGGCTTTGACGTACTATACCGCGGACGTTTTTGAGAGGAAGCTACTGGGTGTCTGTAAGACACGTGTTTCCTGAGAGCATCTCGCGATCGTGACACATGCGAACACGATGTGCAGCTGTACGAGCTATTGCTATGCGTCTCCATGTGTACACGCAAGTTGTACTGATTACTCAATTGTTTACCACAGATAAGACAAGTGACACTGGACTTGTTGTAAGTCTGGGAAGTTCTACTAGGTGCGGACGCCGCGAGCAACTTGAAACTCGCGTCCCACACAGCCGGCGGTGGCTTCACGTCCTCCATAGGCGTGACTTGATCCTCCACGATCGACGTTGCCTCGTCCGCTATATTCTCTGAGTAGCCTCTATCGATATACTTGTTAGCCGACACGTTAACAGGAACAGACGTTTTCTCCCTCTGGTTTAACTTGGCGTTTATGGAGTAATAAGGCTTCGTCTTAACGCAATACGGTATACTTTCTTGATCGTTGCTAGGCTCTTCGTCCTCTAAATTATCCATTACTTTAGGCAACGGTACAGATGCCGATTCTGACGATCCGGCCGTTATAATGTCTTTCGACTCCGTTATCATCTCTTCGTTCGACAGTCCTTCCTGAGAATGCACTACTGACGATTGCACGTACAAGCCGTTATCCTGTCTCGGATTCTTCTGAAATAAGAAGACACGCATAATCACGTAAATTACATTAAATAATTATACTTTCCCATCGAAAACACCATTAAAGACAATCATTTTAGAAAAAAAATGATCTAAGAGTGTATTAACTATGCGGCGTCATATACTTTATCGTCTATGCATTTATATTAAAGGTATGTTAGGTTTTACAATAATACCAAGGTAAATACTATTATAAATATTTATATGAGAATGCAATTCGCTTACGATACTTGCAATGAAACGTATTCTCTAACTTTTGCAAAGTGCGGATATTGATGGCGACGATGAATGTATCTTTCAAAATTCAAGAAAATAAGCTAAACACATTCTATATGTATTATATTATACAACAGGTTATGCATTGCGCATTAATACATATTTTTGTTTAATTCATTCGTATTTATTTGAAATCAATATCAGGACATATTAATGGTATTACTTAAGGATATTTAGCATGATAATTTCTAAAATATTGTGTTCTTCCGGTTGGCATTAATAGTCCTACAATTACATATTTGTTAAACAATAACAAGTGTTCCTAAAATATCTAATCTTTCATAATAAAAAGAGCATTTAGTCAAGAGTTGTTAATGAATTCTGTTTAGCACATAAGAATCGAGGATCGTCGACTATATCCGAGATCCGTTTACAAAAATTGCTTTATCTCTAAGCTTTCATGCGTTTTCTGTCCTTTTCTTTCTGCAGCTACGCATAATGTCTTCGGAATTGACAAATTAGTGCTAAACGTTTGTTATCATCACACTTGACTAAACTGCTAAGCATTATTATTGTACTGCGGAGAAAAAAAAACATAAGTGTTGTATAAAATCGCCGTTCTGATCTCGGTAATACATAGTTTTAGTAATTTAGAGATTCATGTGTGGAAGAAGCTATTTTAGATATACCTGTAAAGTCATTCTATGGGGTAAGGTTCCATGGGATGCATCCACTTGCATTTAGTTGCAACACACACAACGATCTTGATCTCGTGGATATCGTTTTTATTCATTATCGTTCCTTCGATGCATGTACGAACATAATATGTGTAGCGGTATAATTCCTTCGTGAGGTACTTCTTGAGGAACGACAGTGAATGTGTTTAAGTAACCTGAACAAAACAACACGATCAGGGTAATATAAAGAGATTAAGTGAGAGGAACAAGCGAACGTGAATTTTTCTTTTTGCCTCGTTCTCCGTTCTGCTGAATGAATACGAAAGAGACTCATTGTCTACGTTCTTTGTAAAAGTATATTTGCGACGGTATTGCGGCAATTCTGCAATTTCTCTCAAGTATATTGATATCAGACATGCATGTTACGAGGATAGCATTTACAATAGTATGTACAATATGCTGTGGTATACAGAATTTATATCATGATTTACAGATAAGACAAATGCTACTTAATAGACTCGCTTACAGCTCTAATAAATGCTTACAACACCTACTGCTATCGCATATTAAGATTATATCTTTAATATACAAAGAGTGTTATAGTTCAAAAAAATTGGAAAATAATATACCGACATGTTCCATTAAGAAGCAACATTATTTATGAGCTTATTGAGTGTACAAATACTATTAATTAAATATTACAATGCATAAACAGTTGTATATCAATGTTAATAGAAAAAGGGAGAGAGAATGTGTGAAAGGAAAAATGCATTGCGATTTAAAATGATGCAACTTATTAATGAAAAAAAAAAGGTTACGTAAATTTCGTACGGCTGTATGTATATTGCATACCGGCTGTATATTGTTGGGTGTATCAACAATAGTTATTTTGTGCAAATTTGCAACAGATGTATTTGTGATTCGCAAGGAATAGCAAGAGTTATTAAGGGCAATCGTATTTTCGTGTAACTGCGCGTAAGAAACGCATGCTTCGTTATAAGCAATCAAAAGTTTTCGTTTAAGAACAAGCGTATTAAGAGGATGAAATATTATTCATGCTAATTACCTTAAGTACTAAGAAAACCACGCCATTAACCCTCAAACCCGCAACACTGGGTTACGCTAACCCAGTCCGATTTTGAAACGCACGGCATTTTTATCTACGCATTCTCGTGGATCACTGGCTGGAGTCGATTGAAAAAGAAATTAGCTTTATTTGCTATTTTATAGCCCGAGACCTAAGCAAAAGAAATCACTGGGCTTACCAACCCAGTGGTGTTCGAAGGTAGCGACTGCGGTGTTTGAGGGTCAATATTATCAGGGTTGGGAAGTAACGCGTTACTTGTAACGCCGTTGCCGTTTTCGTTACTATTTTTCGATAACGATCGTTACCTTTTTCATGTCCGTAACGGTAACGGTAGCGTCGTTACATTTTTACAGTAACGGTAACGAATTCAGCCGTTACTCTTATCGTTACTTTAGTTCCCTATTATCTTTTACATGTTCAACAGATCGTGCGCTGGTCACGCGCATTATTCTTGATTGAGCAAAAATATTCCGATATTGAGCGCCGGAAGTCAATGACACGTGAGAATGCGCTGTAAGCATTTATCGATGTCTCGATTCTGTATGATGGCTTGCTATATAGAAACTAGTTTGAAGTTTTAATATTGATTATTAAGTAATAATAATGTAATTTTAATCCAACATTTTACTTTAGCATTTCGACAAAGTAACGAAAAAAGTAATGAATCGCTACTTTCTAAGTAACGGTAACGCGTTTACTTTTTTAAGGTAACGTTCCCAACCTTGAATATAATAACAAGAAAACTGCAGCCCTTATTTTCGGATATATTATAGCGTAGTAAAATCGTTATACATTTAGCTACCAACGTTATCTCATACATAAATTAGCGAGGCTGCAAATATACTTGGCCGGACTTTGAATAATAATGACGATGAAAATCATTTTCATAATTCTTAAATGCAAGTAACTACATTTCGGAAATTAAACGACTGAAAAAACGTGATATCCATCCGGAATAAATAAATAAGATATTCTGCAATAATTGGTTCTGCGTATCTTTATCATTCGTTGCGTGTTAGGCGAAGAATTAGACGTACTGTAAATTTCGCAAACTTTTATATGACGCCTAAAGTGCTGATTAAAAAATATAAATTACAGGCTAAAAATAAAGAGGTACAATACATTCAGGAAACACAATGTAAATACAGCGAGTGTTACACAATTCTTCTCTTTACGCAACGTAAGCTTTTCTATACTTAAAAATGGCTTCTATACTTCTTTAATGTCGTTTAGCAGTAAGAGAAAAACACTTACCCCAGCCATATCAGCTAATCCACAAATGTGCAATGTGTTAGCCATAGCTAAAAGTGCCGGTAATTGCTCCTGATAAATATTCACTTCTCCATTATACATAAACTTGACCAGAGCGCACAGATTTGCATACTCCATGCCTGGCAGCACAATGACCGGATGTTGTAAGGAGCTCAAGTTCTAAAAATTCATTCGTCAAGTTTTCATCTCGGTATAAGTTTAAGGTACGATTCAATATACATAAACGATAACGACTTCGCAGCTTGAAATAATAATTTAGAGAGCCATTAAATCTAGCTCACTTAAATGATAAAATTAACAATCCCACTTCCATTCTTAGGCTGGCATTACGTTTATCGTACGACAATATATAACACAAATGTAGTACCAGCCTCTTATACCATCAAGTTACAACTTGTAAGAAAAGAAACAAGCAGGGAATCGACAAAAATAGTTTTGTCGAAGACTCGACGTTAATACAACACTTGGAACGGACCTCGCTACAAAAGATTTGAGAAATTGACGTCTCTGTTGTGTCATCGACGAAGCGACACGCTATTCATTTGCCATAACTGTTCAACGTCGTAATCGAGACACTTTATTTCGTATAAATACCTTGAAGAGATCTTTAAAGTAATGACTACAAGCCGAGAGTATGATTCTATGAGCGTGAATATGTCCACCGCCGGCGCTGAGCGTAACGTCTGTCAGATGACCTCCGTCGAGCAACTTCGGGAGCGAGCTCAAGAGAGTATTTTGAAAATTATGCCACCGTAAACAGAACTGTTGGCCTTCCATGTCGCTGCCTGCTGTAGAAAGGAAAAGGGTTCTACATTAAAACACTGCGTTTCGCACATAGCAGAGGGAGTTATCGGGGATTGAGTCTCGACTGCATAACAAAGGAAGTACATTAAACGTGAGAGAGACACATAATCCTCACGTAATTTCCTTCGCGCGAAATTGTACACTCACGGAGGAACGAAAGGTCGTAGCGACAAAGGATTAGGCTGATGGCAGAGGACGATAATCCGTAAACGCTTAAGACTGCAGAGGAAAACTTGGGTCGTGAAGGTCTATTGTACACCTTATTGCCTTACGTCTACAAGACAGACTTGGGACCGGTCTTGCAATGTTAGTCGTCAGTCAGAGGTCAAAACTATGTCTGTCCTTTTTCTTTCTGGATTTCATCCAGACCGACATATAGTTCTGACTTCTAACGGTCAGAGCACAAAGCGACGTAATAGCTTACGACAAAGACGTAAGCGTAAACGTAGATCAGCGCACAAGCTTTGGTTTATGTTGTACCCATACAGCACAGATGGTTGCAGTTACATTGCAGAAACGTTGCAATCTTGCAGAGATATTGCAGGGATATAAAATTGCAAACTTACGATAGCAATATTGCAGCAATGTTTCCAAAATAATGAAAATAATATATTTTCTATTTCAAAAATTTTCTAATTACGAGAATTTTATAATGTTATTTTTGTTGATACTAATAATGGGCGAATTATTAAGTACTTGATCAGTGCGACGTTGCTCGCAATCTCCATCTATTGCAAAGCAACATAATCTCCTTAGGTTGCTTCGCAACAGCTTGCTGTGTATTGAAAAAGGCCCGGATGTATATGTAATTAGTAAATTCTCTGCTTGCGCACAACAAATTATTTCAAAAATGTTGCACTGCAACATTGCTATAATGTTGCACTGCAATCTCTCTGAGGGCGGACATTTTTCAACGTTGCTGCAATATTGCAATCTTGCAATGTAACATTTCTGCAATCTTCTTGCAATCTTTCTGTGCTGTGTGGGTACTTACCTCCAACTACATATGACGTTACATTTACGCCAAAGCTTACGTTCAGGCTCGCGCCTTTGTCGTAAGATACTACGTTGCTTTGTGCTCTGACCCTTGGGGCTTGAGCAGAAAGATTGTCGTAAGTCAGTGTCGGAAGTAAACGCGCAAAGAATTGTTGTATGTCGCCTCGCGATGCAACGGATATACGTCTACGACATACGTTTACGATATATGTCTACGACACACATATTTATGATATACGTCTACGACACACGCTTACGACATACGTCTGCGACAATTGTTTGCCCGTTCACTTCCGACACCGACTTAAGTCTTACAACGGAACCGTAAACGACAATCTTTCCGCTCAGGGCGTTTACGGATCGTTCTCTGCCATCACAGCCTTACTTTAGCGCGCGAGACACTCGGTTCACGTCTTCTGCACTTACTCGTACGCACCTAACGACATTACAGCTCGCCCGGACAACGAGGCGCGTAACAATTAGATCCCCCTCGCCGTGCGGGGTGAAAGGTTAAATGTTACAAGAGACACGAAGGCGCAGGGAGCGAAAGGGGCTTCTCTCCTCCGCACGATTCGAGAGACAGGCAGAGACGACGGATCTACATCGCGGGGCGCGAGGATCGCGACGTAAGGGAGGTGGCGCCCGTCCGCGAGACACCGAGAGACACAATACTATTTATTTAATCAGGCTCTGTGCAGGTTCCAGCCAAATCTATTATTGTACTTGAGGTATGGCTGGAGGCAAAGGACGGGGCCGTGTCTCGCGCGTCCCCGCGACTCGCGACAGTCGGGCAGCTCGCGGGCTCCACGCCTCGGCGCCTCCGAATCGGCGCCGCCGAGCCGCGGCGGAATAACGGCGAGGAGACCGAGGCCCCGCGTCCGCCGGGCCTTACCTCGTGAAAAATCGCCGTCCGCCGCTCAAACGATCGTTCCCCAGCGCGACACTGCTCCGCTCTCATCTGGCGAGCGCCATAATCGCGATTGGCGCGGATCGCGCGGACACGAGAGGCGCGCGCCGAAACGCGCGTGACCCAAGAGGCTCTCGCGGACCGGCGGCCACCTGTCGGCGTCGCCTCGAAACGGATTCACCGCGGCGCTCGAACACAGTGGCCGCGTTCAGCAGACACAACTGTTGAGTGAGCGCTCAGTATGATTGGTTAATACTTTCAGATCCAGCCAATCATGTTAAGAAATCATTGAGCGCTCAGTATGATTGGTTAATACTTTCAGATCTAGCCAATCATGTTAAGAAATCATTGAGCGCTCACTCAACAGTTGTGCCTGCTGAACGCGGCCAGTAATAACCAGTATGCCCACTCTCTGTCGGCACCTTTGATCTGGGCGTTCTCAATTTTCCGCCATGTTTTTAATCGCTCCAACAGTATATCAACGGCTAAAAGTGCCTGGGCCCTTTTCAGGATCGTATCCAGGAAAGGCGCGTACGAACTAACGTACATTATTTATTGTAAATGGAAATGGCCTATGAAAAAAATGTTCTAATAAAAGTAATTAATGTAATTACTTGCTCCAACGTATAAAAGTATTAACGCGTTATTCGTCAACACTGCAAATTTTTCAATGTCACACCGACTTTGCACTAACACACTTACAAAAATCCTGTGATTGGTCATAACTAGACATGTCGGATGCGCAGTACGGATCGGCGCGAACGTGAAACAAAAGAGCGAGTGGGCATACTGGTTATACTGTGGCTCGAACGCGATTTTCGAACGTTCTTCGAGTCATATCGAAAGCATCATTTTGACGTCGTTTTGACATCGTTTCGACATCGATCGACGAATTATTTCTCACTGGGCATCTGTCACTATTCATATTATTACAGTATGAATTTTATTTCTATATAGTTACAGAAAAATTACGCTTAGAATTGCAAAATTTCTTTCTTCTTGAAAGTAACTTTCAAGCTCGATTATGTCGGGTGGTTCTCAATAGCGCTATTTTAAACGTGTCATTCTCGACCGCATTAACATGCACTTTTTCGACGTACAAGTTTCAAACAATTTTTCAGTTATAACACGGAAATACTTTAAATTTGCATGACAATTTGAAGACATAATTATAAAGCCAATTTATAATAATTGAAAAATTCATATTATTCTCATAGAGAAAGCTTTGTGTGCAAATAAAAATTCTGGAGTAAGCAATTTTCAAAATGCACCTTAACTCATAAAGCCTCTTCTATGAGGTTGCCCAAATTTTTAATAATCACTTGCCTTCATGATGACGAAGTAATGTCTAAATTTCCATTTTGCATTTTTACAAGTTAGAATGGGCAATGTCCAAAGTTTTAATTTGCACATTAACTCACAAAGCTTCCTCTATGAGGAAGCCAAATTTGAATAGACAACTTGCCAAAATGTTAATGTTGCATTTTGCAATTTCCAATTTGCACCTTATAAATAAAAAACAACTTGCCAAAATGCTGATGCTGCGTTTTGCAAATTTAAAATCTGCACCTTTAAAATAAAAAAATAGTCCAGATGTTGAGGAAGCAATGTGCAAATTTCCAATTTGCACCTTTAAAATAAAAAAAAATTGAATAGACAACTTACCAAAATGCTGATGTTGCATTTTGCAAATTTCCAATTTGCTCCTTTTTTTTGTATGTACACACAGAAACGGAGCAGTACGCTACATGTATGCCGTATTGTGTTAAATCTCAAATCCTATGATTCCAGATGTATCCGTCGTTTATTAATTTACACGAAGATGGGAACGACCATTTGCTCTTGGACATGGACTCCTTGGTTCCCAGACGAAGCAGTTTCTTAGCAAGCCGCGGTTGCGAGCCCGCCAAGAAGAAATGTTCGCTCGGTAATGCATAAAGAAAGTAGAAAGAAAAATATCAATTTCGATCGTGCGAGGGAGTGGACGCGTCCTTTCGCGGTTGCGAGATTACAGGACGAAATTATCTTCAACTTTTTTCCCATCACCGAATCAACACGTTTGAGTCTTCCTCTCTTCATCAATTTCGATAAAAAGAAATGTATAAAAGATCAATTTCGAGCGTTGAAACATTTGTTTTGCACTTTTCTGGTTTTTTCCCCCGTGTTTGCATATATGCGCTTTACGTGTCTCGTTATTGCGTTTCGAGGCGAAACATTTAACGACAGAGATGGACTATAATGTATCATAAAGCAAACTTGTATCTGTAATCACTGTAAAGCAATAACTCTAACGCCTTCTCGCGATTTTCGTCACGAAGCAAGCAACGAATCTGGCAAATTATTAAGAAAAAAAAGTAGCTTCAGGAGACGATTAATCCATTATCTTTTCCATTTTCTTGCTTGCTTATAGCGACTTACGAAGATTCGAGTCTGCTACTCACTATTGGTCTGCGACTGCCGACGTAGCGATAGTCGCTGGTGGGGGTTTCCCGGGACTGTTTAACATTGACGTGTTGCATCGATTTATGGGAAACCGCACCGGCTTTAGCATTTAATCGTCCGATCGATCTAAAAGAAACGTTTTGCATTCGAAACATATTTACGGTTTTAAACGTGCAGACAGCGGATCGAACAGGAATTGCCTGACAGATCTGATCTTTACGATGTCCTTTCGATGAAGGTGATGAAAGCGAGGAGATCGACGGCACCGGATGGTCCGACAAACCTATCAGAAGCTGGTGTCAAGAGGAAACAATAAATTGGCTTATGTCAGCGGCGTCGTATATAGGTCAACCTTACAGTTCTATTCAGCACAGCCTCGCCGTGTCCGGGAAAGAGATCGTTACTTTTACGCGGCAAGATTTCATCAACCACGATCCTGTGTATGGGAACCGATTGTACGATCTTCACTCGCAACGTATATCAAACCTTTGTACGTAGACATACCATTGACGTAATGTGTTCATAGATGTCGGAAATTCCAAACTCAATTTAACGACAGATCCTTCGACAAATATCAATTCTCATCTTTTTATAACTTTTACAATATCGATATTCACGATAGCAATGGGTTGCAACACTCTAGAGTCCCCACAAAAGCCAATCTTCGGTGATTTTTTTAGGAATATAATAGACATAAATAAAAATCTGTTTGATCCTTATTATTTTCTATACATTGAAGTATAAAAAGAATTTTTTATAAATTTTTCCTCAACAAAATGGCGGCGCCAGAGCCTTAGGAACCAAAGTGCCTCTTTACGGAAGTCGCCCCACGGACGGAAACGAAATCCGTATGTAGTTCGAAAGAAAATGTTATTTTTCAAAAATCTTTGGTTTTTGTTCCAACTCAAAGGATGAGGGAGCTTTGTTTCCGCTCGTGGGGCGACTTCCGCACTTAGGATCAAAGACTCTGGCACCGCCATTTTGTTGAGAAAAAATTCATTAAAAATTTTTTTTATACTTCAATGTATAGAGAATAAATAGGAATGAACAGATATTCATTTACGTTTATTATGTTCTTGAAAAAAAATCACCGAAGATTGGCTTTTTTCTTTGGACTCTAGTGTTGTAATCCCCTTAAAGTAATGCGACGTAAAGTAATGACGCAAAATGAAAATTAGGCTACGAGTCTAAAGTACAAATTTTTTGTGCAGTGCCATCGTTCGATACCATTCAACCGCAATCGGAAGACGAGTACGCACGAGTCAATTCTAGTAATATATCCGGTAAATTATTAAGAAAATAATAACTTTAGAAAATGACTGATCCGTTATCCTTTACAATTTTCGTGCTTGTTTCCAGATGCGGAATCGGATAATAGCATCGAAATTGCAACCAAACGGTTGCCTGGCACACCCAGGGTATTGAAGACGAAAAAAAATCGTAAGTATAACTGCGAAATATTTTTCGGCGTATAGAGAAAAATGCATGTAAGCGCATTGAATTACACGAGTAAACTACTTACAGCCGCCAGTCAAGGAAAGTTGTGGGAATTTATTAGAGATTTACTACGTAACAGAGAAACATGTCCGAGTTTAATTTGCTGGGAAGACTACTCGCAAGCTAAATTTCGTTTCGTAAAGAGCGATGAAGTAGCAAAACGATGGGGTTCACGGAAAGGAAATACAAAGATGACTTACGAAAAGCTCAGTAGAGCTATGAGGTAACAAAAATAAAATTTTCAATATGCTAAGAAGTAATTTAAATACGTATTCATTAATTATTTTTAAAAAATGATGCTTTTCAGGTACTATTACAAAAGCCAAATATTTCTACCAGTACTTGGTCGAAGATTGGTATATCAGTTTGGACCAAATGCGAAAGGATGGCAGACGGATAATCCAAATTTCCGACACTGAAACAATGTTGAAAAAGAGTTTGTAATATGACCGAGCAGTCGATAAATTGTCAAAGCAAAAAGTCAAATCGATTTCACATGACATTTCTCGACATTAGAAAAATAATCATTGTTAATATTCATTCTTTATGTGTTCGTTAAATATGTTAAATATCGTTACCACATGTCAATAATCATTTAAATGTCGCCGTCGAATGTAGTTATGTTTCTTACACAGCCAAAGACAATAATATAATAAAACAGATCTCTAAAGAAAAAGAAACGATATCTGAAGTGAAAAAGACATGTAAAATATACATATGTTTTTCCTTTCTTATGTCTTTGGTCTATGTATCTTTGATACCATTTATATTCATGTATCTTCGCGTATTTTTCTACCTTTACAAAACCTAATATAATAATCATGATTATATGAATTTAAAAATGTAATTAAAAATTGTATAAAGAATAGAAAGATGTGACTCTGAACAGACAAGTATTTGTAAAAGCATAGTCGTCAAGAAATCATTTTTTATAAAAACAAGAAAGGAAAGTCGTACAACACTTTCTCTAAAGAAATCAATTCCTTTCTTTGTTGTGCCAATTGTTGTTTGTATATATTTGCTATTTATAGATATAAGAGATGAGGCATTTGATCATCATCATTAACATTCTTATGCATTTAACAAACTTTTAAAAATGGCTTAACGAGAAAATAGGTATTATTGTCATTTCATTTCTACATATAAAATTTATATTAAATGTTACTTGTTAAAAAAACAACAGTAGTCTTAAAATATTAATCAATAAAATAGAAATTACTTTTCTTCTACGCGCGGAGAACAGCTTTATTTTCGCCTCTTTTTCGATGTTGACGACACCATCTTTGACATCATCTTTCTCTTTCCAGGCTAGAAAAAGAAAGCACTCGTTAAAATATACAAATTTCTTTCAATGAAAGCATATAGAGATCGAATAAGTAAGCAATGCATTTTACGACTCAAATTAACATAATTAAATTATATACCTTATAAAATATTAAATTAAATTATGTACCTTAATTTGCAAGTCCAATTCTTCTGCTGTTTCGTTCTCTTTTTTATGTGTATCATCTGTGCTTTGATCGATATGTGGAAAGACAAAATTTCTCTTATTTACCGAGTGAAAAGCAGAATCACCTTGCTTTGCCAATGAAGCTATCCTTGCTAACGACTCTTCCCCTCGAGTCAAGAGCGAACGTTTTTTTATAATATTCTGTAAAATACACAATCATACAAGCATAAATGGAGCGATTTATTCATTCGCTCATGAAATGCGACAACACATGTTGCTTTTTCACTAATTATTTGGTCCATTAATAAATTGATCTTACATATATCGTTTGGGATTTCTTTCCGATATTTGGTCCATTCAAGAGATCCGTTATATTCCGTGGCATAATCGGTTCCATATTTTCGATAGAATCTGCTTTGTCGAGAGAAGTATCTTGCCTTTGTGACTCATTATCCTTCATTTTCCTAACTGCTTTTAGTCCGAGTTTAAAAATTTGACTGTCGCACAACTCGTCTTCGATCTCGTTATTTAAGCATTTCTATAAATGAACAAGATGTCCTCTATATAAGCATATATTTTTTAAATGCATGCGATTGTTGTTACACACACATACACACACATATATATATAATAACGTTGTACCATTCTTTCCTCAAGAAATTTGTCCCTTTCGTATCTGAGTTTACTCCACTTTGCTTCTTCCTCATCTTCTTGCACGTCGACCCAGCCATCGTTTTCATCAGACATTTGTGGTGTTTCAATACTACTTCCTAATTTATCTAATAAAAAGATTACAACGTGTTATAAAGTTGTGCACATATTGAAACTTCGTGTATCAAATGTTTTGAGAATTTAAATCATATATATAATATATTACAGAATATATTGAAATAGAAAATAGTTTCGAATAATCAATCGTCTGCCATATTAAAAAAAATTGCAATTATTCAACAGATAGGAAACAAAAAGTCGTACGTGTGCTCTCATACCTATATTCCTCCATTTGAATTTACGCTCACGTCCCGTTCCATCGGAGTGTAAATCACCATCCTCGAATAATAACTCCTTAAGCAATCTAACTTCCCTTTTATCTTCATCGAGCATTTGTTTCATATGAATCTTTTCCAGTTGATTCTTCATCTCGTGTTCGTCTATGTGTTCCTCATCAGCTTCCTCAAATTCTAATTTATCCATGTCCTTCTCGTCTTCATCAGCGGAATCCCAATCACTTTCACTTAACTCGGCCTCTTCTTCCAAAAAACCAGCTGCAACTTGTTTTATATTCTCTTCCGGTATTTCCGATACTATTTCATTTTCCTCGGAATCGTAGTCAATGTATTGTTCCTCTGCTTCTTCACTGTCTACATCATCCTTTTCTTCATTAGAGAATTTAGAATTCTCTTCTTCCGAATCGGACAAGTTGAATTTTTTGACCAAACGTCTTTTGGGTTTGACAAACGTATCTTCATCATCCTCATCGTCCGAGGAAGCGATTGTTAATTTTAATTCAGAATCTATTGCGCTATCTTTACTTATTTCTCTTGCATAATTTACAGAATTGGAATCTTCATCTAAGATTAATTTAATATCTTGAAACATATTATCACTTTCTTTTGGATCTTTGGATTGTTTAACATCAACTGGATTCGCGTTAGAATTTCCAGGACGTAATTCGGCACTTGAACGTAACTGCGATACTTGAGTGGTATTGGATTGCGAAAATAAATCTAGATCGGTTCTTTGGGTAGATTCAAATTTACCCGAACATAATTGCATAAGGTATTCATCGTCGATAGTTTCTCCAATATCATCAAATAATTTCTTTTTTAAAATAGTTTTATTTCTGACGCTGGAGTCAGAATGTCTATGTATCTGACTAATACAAATGTCATTCTCTTCGGGTTCGCTCTCTCCACTGTTACTCGACTCAAAACCCATATTCGCTTTTTCTTCTTCATCGGAATCGTGACCACTTTCTTCTTCTCCATTCCAGTCTTCCTCCTCCTCCTCCGCTTGCAGCTCCATTTCTTTTTGTTTCCATTCTTTATTACGTTTTAAAGTCATTTGTAATTTTAGATCTTCCTTTAAACGTATTAATTTGGCCCCAGGCTTATTAAATTCAGAATTATCAGTGCTAGCAGGCACTTTTTTGTACGGGAGTGTTTCTTTAAGATCTAAGTGATCTTTTTGCACAATCTCCTTATTATTATCTTGAGACTCTTGAGTGCCTGTTCCAATCCTGTTAGGATCTTGAATACATTTGGAGGATTTGTAAAAAAGTTCTGCCTCTTTTTCCTTTTCTGCAAGGACCTGGCTGTTTAAACTCATATGTATAAGATTAAAATTATATGTATAAGACGTATGTATAACTAATTTATAATCTATAGATGTGTACACATAAACGCCTGTATTACCTTACTATTGCAGACGACATCTTAAGTTTTGCAGCTGTTGAAGGTGCTTTCGGAAGGGTAGATAATATATTTCTTCTGTTCAAAAACTCTTGTAATGTACGTTGTTTTGGCCTGTGATACGGTAAAGAAATTTCCGTCTCTCTTAATAAACGTTGGCTTTCGCTATGTATCTGACGCATTGCCTCGTTTTTAGAAGCTCTTATAGAGCCCTATATTATAAAATTAAAACATTGCAATTGTTTGTCTGGACAGACCCTTACAAATAAGATAAATTGTAACAATTTAATAATAATCATTAATATTTGACCGTTTGATTTCGCGTGCGTAGTTTGATGTCTTGCCGATTAATTTTAATTCTTTCCGATTCACTGATTAACTTAACTTATATGAGATGGATATTATAGTCTGACAAAAGCCGATAATTTCATTGTTCTGGGTTTCTCTCTGGTGGATAAACCCAGAACAATGAAATTATCGGCTTTTGTCAGACTATAATCTGCTATAATTATATCCATAGACATAGTATATCTAGACTGCTGGTTGGCGGAGTGGGGGTAGAGCTCACGTAGAAAAGGATGCACTCTGTTTCGTGTCTGTGCGTTCTCTCTCGCACACGCGAAAAGAGGGGATAAGGGGAAGCAGTTACTAACCTGTACGTATAGTATAATTGAAGTGGGTTAAAGAGAACGAAGAACGCGCAAGCTACATATATATGCTGATTGATTGTACTTTGCAGTAAGTATTGCGGCACGTGTGGCATTCATCGTTCCCTTTAACCT